CACACACACACACACTTTCAGGCAGGGAGATCCCAGTATTTTTGGCTATGAGCCAGGCTGGAATACCACCAGGTCTAGTTTCCTGCATTTACTGAGCTGCTGCCAAAACTACACGCAACAGATCCTCTCTCTCTCTTTCTTTCTCTCTCTGTCTCTCTGCCTCAGGTCTTTTTGTTATCTACACTCAGCACCTTTTTTATTTCACTGCCAGGAATTTTTTTTTCTGTTTTACAATCTCATCCCTTTAGATTCTGCTGTATCTTTTCTTCTGCTGGGTCAATAAAAGCTAAAATAGGTTTTACTAGCTGCCTGTCTTTGCACTAAATGTTTGGGTCAGGCTTATTTTTCAAATTCCATTTAAGAATGAAAAATGCAATACAAATGTTACTGAAATTCAACTTTTTGTTAATATATACAGTATATATATATTTGTGTTTTGCCAGCATTGACTCCAGTGTTGTTCTTTAGGTCTACAGAAGGGATTTAGGTGCTACTGTAGACATTGGCTGGTCCCCCTAATTTCAGATCAGATTAAAATGTCTTCACCTTAGTAGGACTTTTTTATTTCCAAAGATGCATTTACTGCCTTCAAATGTGGTTTTGTTTTGCAGCTTTGAGCATGCTTAGTATGCTGGCTCCACTCTGTCTGCCCAGCAGCATTATGCATCCTTTTATTGTCCCATGACCATTACGCTGAATGACTACATACAAATGACCCCCACAATAACTGCACATCCTGAGGAATCTTTGAAGTATATAGCCTGATTTGCAGTGAGCATTTATGACCACAGCAAACTTGGTGTAATGAAAATAAAATAATCTTCAGCAAAAAGTAAAGGCTTTATGATGACAATAATACCCGTATAGATTTTAAATCCATCTGCTGAAGCTTTTGCGTTGTTCATAAGGACTCATAAAGCAACCCCTCAAATGACTATGAAGCAGATACACATAACATAACAATAATGACAAGAAAAAATTAAAATACACCATTAATGAATCAAACAACAGAATTGTAAGGCGAGCATTCTCTCCAGAGGCTAATCTCACCATCCTCCACACATAACTGTCTCTGTATTGAAGCTATTGGTTTCAGCTCCTATTTAAATTGCATTTCCATGCATTGAGTTGCTTTAATGTGCAGCGCTAATGCAGTCACTAATGTACACATCACACTTAGGGAAGTCTGTAAATGATCCATCATAAATAAAAGATGACATGGAGCATCCACAATCACTCATATAGTATAGATCTGGCTGGAAATATACAAACTGTAAATCAATCAAATAACTAACCACCAAAAATACAACGGAGTTGTTTAGGACTTCAATAAGTGTTCAGTACAATGAAATATATACATATCAATGACATTTAATGACATTACCAATAAAGGAACCTTAATAAAGGGTTTATGATGGCTTTATTCATGTTAACAAACATGTATCACTATATATGCACGGGTATTGCAATATATAATTACCATGTTCCATGATAGGAAAAAACATAAAACTCTTGAAATAATCCTGCCTATAATCATGTATCTGTCAAAAAGATTTTTTTAAATGGCAACTTAAAAGTTATGCTTATTAAATAACTGATCTATAAAACATGAGTAAATTACTTATTATCCATTAATAAAGCTAGTTACATCTTATATCCCTTTATAAATGACGCCTTGTTAAAGCCTCATTCTAACTTGTCCAGTAGAAACTGATTTTTTACTTTTTACAGCAGCAACTTCATTAAATCCCCTTTGACACAAAAGACAAAAGACTAACCTTTGTGAACAGGCTCTTCATAAACGTGTTTTTTCCTTCAGAGTGTGTAAATCATCGATATCAAGTGATGTTATCAACCATGTATTATGATGGTAGATGGCACAAAAGGAAAATGTTTTCAATGACATTAAGATCTTTAGTTTTGTAGGACTACTAATAGCTAACTGTACTAAGCTACTTCCCTACTGTTAAGTTAAATTAAGTCTTTAAAGTTAATTATATTCAGAGATGAAAATAGCTTGATTGTATTATGGAGCCCAGAGTAAGTTGCTTTGCAGAGTTGGGAATTGTTCAGCAAGTCAGTGTTGTCTTACCTGTTTGAACTGCTCCTCGTAGGTCCACTCATGGTGCTGGGACTGGGGATGCGACGATGGAGACTCTGTGCGGCAGGCCGGGTCGAAGGCCACCGGGACTCTGGCCATGAGATGCATCGGGGCGCTCTGCGGAAGCATGCAGGCTCCCTGGAATGAAGACTGTTGGTGTTGGTAGTGGCTCAATCCGATATCGTCTTCGTCCTCTTCTTCATTCATCTCATGTTCATGTATATCATCTCCCTCCTCGTCCCGCTCCTTATCGTCGCTGCCTGGTCCGTCCTCGTCGGCTCTCCGGACCTCCGTGTGTGGGAGCGTCACTCCGGAGGACGAGTTGGAAACTCCGGCGGCCAGTGCGCCTCGCATCGCTGCCTGATAGTGGCGGAAAGCAAGAGCTTGTTGGTGTATCTGGGACTCCACCATGGAGCGGAGGTCTTTTTCTGTCTCCGCCTGCCGGAGCTTCTCCTCCAGGGCTAACCGCGCTGCCTGTTGCCGCTGCAGGTTCTCCATGACCGCCTCGAGCTTCATGCCGCCGCTGCCGGGTTGGTGGGACTGGGCGCCAGGGAACGGGCTGTGCGAAGAGGCGGAGGGAGCCTGGAGCGGAAGGCTGCTGGCAGAAGAGAGAGACCCTTGCTGCGAGGGTACGAGAGGATGGTCGTGGCAATGATTATCACCGGCACTTTATAAGATTAAAACACACGCTCTACCAATTACACTCATTACACACACTGAGTCAGTTTTGGTCTCTGACTTTTAGAGTCAACCAATAAAGACGATAACTTGTTAAACATTTCACATTAAGTTCCTGTAAGCGAACATGAAAAACGTGCACCAAGTTGCTAAAATGCTGTTACGCTATTCAAATAGGCCTACTGAGTTTATAAATGCACCTTAAAAGATAAACTATAAATTAGTTAGTCTACGTTAAATAATCCAAAATAAATAAAGCCCGGACGCTTACCAAAGCAGATTTAGTTGCTATACTTGTGTTATCAACCATGCTTCTCTCCGTCAGATGCGCCGAAATATCAACCGGATCACAAGAGTCTTCTTTCAGTCCTGGCAACGTTCCGCATTCAGATATGTAGGTGTCGGTAGCTGCTGAATAAATACTACTTGAAATGTGTTTGGTGTTGAATAGTGAGGTGCTCTTGGCAACAAGTGGCAACTGTAGTGAGAATGACCTCTGGAGGCAGAGATCAGCCCCCCTGCACTTGCAAACAACGTGTCAATACTGAGAAATACAGTATGAAGGCCAGCACTGCAGGGAGACACTCAACCGTCAACTCTACAGGCTGCTGATACAATGCAATTAAGTTGATGAGACTTCACTCCGAGTTAGGTTATATTGGTTATTATTAAAAAATGAATGTACTTCAATAATTGCATAAATATTTTTTTTTCTTTGCATGTTTTGAATGCCATAAAACATTTCTTTATTTACTTATTTGCTTTTGTAAAGCTACACCATAATTAGATAATAGGCAGGATTATTGATAGAGTTGTATCCCTTTTCCCATCATGGTATATAAACAACTTTTTTGTTTATTTTTATTTATATGAGATTTTTAAGATAAGATAAGATAAGATAAGATATTCCTTTTTTCGTCCCACAATGGGGAAATTCCAATGTTACAGCAGCAAAGTGGATATAGAAAAAACTGTATAAAAACAGTAAGAGTAGGGAAATACTAATATAATATAAACACTATGTA